TTATAGTTGTGTTCTGCTACAGATATGCACAAGATCTTGCAGAAGCTGCCGGAAAAATGATACACAGCAAAAAATTAGTTGACAACCTTTTGACGTCGATGAAGAAGTTATTGTAGAAGTGGAACAAATCACTCCTCTGCCGAATGGAGGACAGAGGATGGAAGTGTGGTTATATTTTTTAAATGTACTACTAAAATACTGCTTGAGCAGTAATATACATAGAATAATCAATGTGATCTTCTGGTATAAGCTCTATGATTGTTGTTGTTTTTGTTGCTGCTGCTGCATTTTAATACCATTTTGTCTAATAGGCTTCTGAATCACTCTCGGTTAACAGCAGAACAGGGTTGTTGATTGGGGTTTGTATCCTCTGATATTCTTTTCTCTCTCCTGTCCACCTTCTCACAGCTGTAAGGTGCAGATTACATTTCTTAAGTTTCCTATTATGCAGGTAACCGTCTTTTTTCTCTTGTTCATCAAACATTCAAAATTATTAAAATATTTTATGCTCTGGTCTTTCTCCCTATTGATCTTGTCTACTTTTGTTATTTTAACAGATATGTAGAGTCACAGAGACCATAAGACACTTTTACAGGTTTTGGTTCTGTTCTCACTTATCTCTGCTCTGTACCACTGAGCAGTATATTTGCAGTGGGTGAAGGTCTAGTAACCACTGTAACAAGACCGTGATGATATCAGTAGTTGTTAAAACAGAAAGTGACTTTCTTTCTACACATGCATTTTTATTTTTGATATCTGAACTGCAGGTCAATAAGCATCCGATCATTATCCTACAAACAGCGAATACTGCGCACAGAGTTGCTGTAATAAATGCAATTTAATTGCCATGTGTGGCAGGGGCAGTGTAGTGTAGGATTTACAGATCCACAGACAGGTAAAACACTTGGCCCTGGAGCTTTGTTAAAGTCTGGTACTGTACATCTGGGAGTGTAATAAATGTTATGTCAAGGTGACCTGCCTGTGTGAAATTCTTCCAATGATTCATTAGTATGAGATCACAAAGCTGCTGAATGCTGTTCTAAAGCCAGAGGGGACAGAAGACCTGACCTTAATTGCTAAAAGAAAAAATAAATTTAATTATGTCCCACATTTATTTGAACTCATTTACTTTCAATAGATCACAGGGAGAGCAATTAAAATAAATGAGTGGATAAATTAATATAAACATATACATATGTAAATGTATAAATGCATGTGTATATACTGTAAATATTTTTCAATAAATTGCTTTCTGTACATTTATAGTGACATATACTGTAAGAATTAACTCATTTCTGTGCCATACAGCTACACGCTTTAAATTAGTATACAATATAATGCTAAGATTACTGAAGTTAGAAACATTTACTATGGAGACTTAGAAGGTGTTTAATGGACTTTCAATAAATCTGATTCTTCCAACACAGTTTTCTGGAGTTGGAGTTGGGGTAGCATTGTTTACAACCTGTAAAAAGATGTCGATCATTTCATAGGCTTTAAATCAGTGTGGTAAAAGTTTTAAAAATGTGATTGAATAAAGAGGGAAAGAAACAAGAGGAATGTAAGAACAAGAAGAAGGTAGAAGAACCTGTCGGTTTGTTATTTTGATGTGTTCTGTGACTTTTGTCATTGTCATTGTCATGGCTTTAACAAGAATGTTGCTGAGACTTTGCTGCAAAGACAAGCCCAGTGAGGAGGCAAAGTAAGAGGAGAGTCGAACAACAAACAAGGCTCAGTGCCTCCGGGGGCTTAGGAGCTGCAGCAAATAAAATTGTCAAATTCTGTCAAGTAGTTGCCGTGCACATTTTTTGAGTGGCTGTAGCTGTGAGGACAGTCAGTCAGCTTCAACCCTGCATCACCCATCACTCAACTTCAGCCTGTAGTGAAGCGTGCTCACTGGAGGTTGTCAATGACTAAGAATTACAGTGATGAAAGCATTGATTTCTTCACTCTTCACTCATAACGTGACAAACTATTGATATCTTTTCCCTGGATCTCTGCACATAATTGATGTTATGACAGACATGCTGATATGATGCATTTTATTGTTAAATGGTCATTGTGCCAGTCTATTTACCCTCAACCCTCCACTGTGACATCATCAATCCATAACTATTACATTTCTTAATTTTTATTCCTCGCTTCATATTGAGTATAAAATAGACTTCAACTGTTTCCATCTGTCATTAATGCACTGAAAGCAGCGAATCTTGTATTAGATTTTTATAGGCAGCTGCTTCTGAAGATAAGAAGCGACATGATTCCTCTTCTCTCTCCGTTGCCTCCTCCTTTTTTCTCACTGTGGTTACAGCCCCTTGTTTTCCTTGTTTGACTGTTATATATCTAGAGTGTTTACAGCAGGGCTGCCTCCTTCATCCACTGCCAAAAGCTTTCTCTCCCTCTCATCCATTACTGCAGCACAGTGATCTGTACTGCATATCTGTTTGTTCTACCTCGTACTACTGCAGTTGATGAGTGAAGTCACAGGAGCTGTTGTAAACATGAGTGATATAACAATTAAGCTCTCACAAGTCAGAGGTGCGATATTCAAGATGTTGTTTTGATGTTAATGTAGTTGTGAGTGGATGTGAGCTGCTAATGTCTGCTAAAGTCTTTAACTGTCTCTGCCACATGATTTCATACTCTTTTAGCTCAGATTTGATAGTTAATAGTTAAAAATTAAATATATTTTAACTGCATTTAAATAGCTGTGGCTGTTTTATCTTCTCCTAATAAAGAGTGTAAAGATAGAATATTTTTGAAGATAACAGCTTCACAGATGTTTTGAAAGAAACAAAACATAATCTTCAGGCCACAGAGCAATAACTAAAATCCAACAACTCTGAAAAAATGTTCTTAGTTGTAACTAGGGATGGGTCGATCCAATACTCAGGATCGATATCTGTCTGATATTGGTCAAAATTTCAGGAACAAACATTTTTAAAAAAAACACCTATTGCCCGTCCAATTTGATACTTATGTGCAAATTCTAAACTTAACTCTGAGCAATTTGCTGTGAACAGGGACACTATTGTCTCAGGTGCGGCAGACCAAGTTATAGTGGAGGTATCGATTTGACATGAAAATGTTTTATCCAACCATACCTAGTTGTAATTACATATTTACATACAATAAAAATTACACATTTCTGGTAGGATTTGAGTTATAGTTTTACATAATTGTATTGATGTGTTTTCATATTAATAATTCAATGTAAATACTGCTTTATTTAATATTTAACAAAAACATATTCACTGGCCACTGCATGAAGTATTTTGTGTTAGAACTTAGAAGTCTTCTTGATGAACTTCATACCTTTTGTATTTATATTTTAAAATACTCTTTGGTGTTTGCCGATATTTGATGATGACTGGCCAGAGGTAGGTCACAGGAGCCTGACAGTGTCTATTTTCTCCTCTTATCTTTTCTTGTTGTTTATTTTTTATGTTTTGAAGGTCTGATGTAAAGGACTTTTTATATATTATTTATTATTTATTATCCAGCACATTTTTAGTGGTTGTAGAGGCAATAGGCATCAATTGGTCTTCAGTTCTCTCTACTGTACTTCCCTGTGCTAGAAACAATACAACCATTTTCACAGAAAGTTTTTTATGTCTATGTCAAATACTGTCTCCAGACACTGTTGTTTTTTGATGCTGGGAAACGCCTGTAATTTGTTCTTTCTGTTTTTCAATCAATCTCCAGGTAATCTTGGGACTGCTTCTGCCACCATCCATCTTGAGCCTGGAGTTCAAGAACAAGGATGAGATGTCCTACGTGCCCCAGGATCAGGAGGCCTACCTGCAGGAGAAGGAGGAGGAGGAGCCTGAGAAGCCCGTCAAGGAGAAGGAGGAGGAAGACATGGAGTTCACAGTAAGATCTTACTGTGAGGCACAGTACAACTCCGTGGTGAGAGAACCCACCTCAGCCCTGCACTTCAGATTCTATACACGTTTAAACATGGACACACTTGAAGTGATCACTGCACACAACCTAAATTACAGTATTGCAGTTTTGTCGTCTCAACAAAGACATAATGGTGGAGTTGTAGTGTCTCAGTCTGTCGCTGCTTGTGGGTTCCCTCCCTCTTTGTCTCTTCTTCCATCTTCCCCCTCTGTTTCTCGGTTCCCCCTCCATCCCTCTTGTTCTTTGCTCAACCTCTTTTTTTTCTTTAAGTTCAATCTTTTGTTTCCGTGGCTTGTTCCTTCCTTTTTTGCCCCTCTTCTCTCGAGTTCCTTTTTATCCTCTCTCTCTCTCTCCAAGCTCAGTTCTGATCGAGGTACAGTACCGTATGCTGGTCGATGGCTGCCCCCTTGCTTTCTCCCATCATTGACGGTTTGCTGCAGCATACCACTCAGCATGTCGACTGCTGAGCATGGGAGGCCCGGGCTTTTGCATTATATAACCATGTGTTCCTGCTGCTGCAGAGCTTAAATCATGCAGAGTCTGAGCATCATCCTCCTAGCTCACAGTGGATGAGTTGGTCCATCTGCACAGACATAGATGTAAAGTGGGATTAGGAGCTGTTCCATTTCAACCCAGTCAATCCTGGAAATGATACCGAGATCCAGTTTCTGTGTTTAAATGAACACTGGGTTTTGATGAAGCAATTTAAAACATAAACTGGACCTAAGGTCTCTGCTATTACATGATTGAACCCGAGTTCTACATACAGTGTACATATCCACCATCAGCATTGAACACAGTCACAAGCCAGTGCAAAGATAGACACAGTATTCCATGTTGTTTGACCCACAATATCAATGCAAGAAAAGAAAAACAATTATGATTTTACCTTGACTGTTTCAAGTTAAGTGAGAGTCTCTGGTTGTCTGATTTGGAGACATTTTAGGATTTAGTCTAGTTGGTAATTGAGATTAAAAATACAAACCTGCTCTTTAATTTTACAGCTTAGCAAGATGGGGTGATACAGGGCAAAAATGGTAATTCATGAAGGTGAAACGAGTACTGTATTTTGATGTGGGACAGTAATACTCTATTAGGTTGTGCAGTCTGACTGACAAATGGGTTCAAGGCTTAATGTTAGGCTGCTAGACAGG